GCTTTCATTTAATTTAATGTGACTGTTTTCTTGGCTGTACATATGATAGTATTTTTGGAGAATGCGTTGGGCAGCAGGGTAGGGAGAGAACAGCATTCAGGTGCCTACATGCTCAATGCTGTTGAATGTGAATTTACATGACATTGAACAGGGCTGTAATCCTCTCACACGTTTTTTTTCAGGAGCACCTCTTGCTGATGTGCTTGTTAGGTAGCCACTGGTATTTGTAGGTTCACTGAATCAAAAATAAATAAAGATCCGTGTGTCAGAATACCTCCCCAGATGTGTTGGCTCAATAAGTTAGCTTAGACTTTGATCATGTTTTTAACTGGTAGGCTGGAATTTACACACCTTATATCACATGACAAAGCTTCCCGAACCATCCTAGTAGTAGTTACTTGATGCTTCAACACTTTTTAGACTGAAAAAGATGTGTGAAGAAGCTTTAAGGGTTTCCTTCTTATCACAGCTGAGAACATGGCTGAGAAACAAAGAACAAAAGAAGAAAATAACTGAGTATCGACGCTGCTGTGCTTCACATCCTGTTGAGAGGGTCAATTCTAGCAAATAGCAGGCTAATCGTTTTACTGTATGACTTGACCATAGATACATGTAACTACTAATCTGCTAGCTTGTTGTTTGTTGTGCAGTGCTCTGCTCTGTTCCACACTCAGTTGATGCAGCTGATAGCTCATGAATTACTCCTCATACTATGATGAAACATGAAATCCAGGCACACATGCAATATTTACTGAACACAGCTGAAATAATAACCCACAGGTTATTAATCTCTGAGTTGGAGCCCTCCTTTGCTTTTAATATATGACACTGAAAGAAAAATCTATCTAAAATCAGTGTGTATGTCATGTGAATGAAAGCAGACATCGGTGGGTTCTCATAATATCAAAAGTCCCTTAGTTACAGCAGTATGCATGCTGTTTGCCTAATAAGTCTGTATGCCTGCTATTGTTTTTTTCCTTACTATTTAAATGAATATATTCATTTTAATTGAAAATGCCAAGTGACTAATATGTAACTACAAGGAGAAATATAAAATTTGATCATTCTGCTGAATGAATTATTTATTTTTTCTGCATAAATCAAAATTGAAATGCAGCTAAGAAATCCACATAATTTATTGCTGACAATGATGAGTGTTTCAGAGATCCAGCGCTTGACAGAGAATAAACTGTCTGATAGATATTGATGAAAAAAATAATATATATATATAAAAGTACATTTATTAATAGGCCATACACGCAGTCTGACACTAGCTGATTTGGAAAAGTACTATATTGTTGATAGTAATAAGGGCAAAGAAACACTGGAGGAAACATCCCTGTGGCTTAATCAATGATCAGCACATGAACATAAGTCAAAGATTGTTTAAAATTGTTCCAAATAAGGAATAACTGACGTCAAGAGGTTGCTTGTCTTCTTACCTGCTTCACACTCTGGTTGCCTGCAGTGACAAAAGTACTGACAACATTTAGAAGCAGTCTTTCACAAACTGATGGCTTTTTTTTCTCCATTTACATTTCGCTTACAGTCTGGTCACAGATGCCCTCAGAGAGGAGAACTGTGATACACTGGTCAGTCTGTATTTTGTATGTACCAACAGATAATAAAGCCAGGAACAAGTAATCGTGCATTGTTAACATGGAACTGCACTCATGCACTGACAAGCACAAATGGCCAGTAGCAGTGTTTTCCTTTAGTAGAATGACATGGGTACAGGGCCAAAGTCATTGCATCTCCAAGGCCAAAGATGTTTAGCAGCATCCCTTCCATTGAAGGTGAGCGAAGGGTACCAGGATGACACCAGTCTGTGTTGTCTGCACCTACCACTCAGTCTGTTTCTGGGAAGGAAATTTTGAGGTAGAGTTGAAAACAGACTACCAGCATATCAGAGGTGCCGGGGACTACTCTAAATCACATTGGGAAAGGAAATTCCTGACAACTGTAGAGCCAGTATTAATTTCTGGATGTGTTGCATGCTCTCCTTCTTGGACATACTAAATTGAGCTCTGAGTCAGGAAACACTTCATTCCATGGAATTTTTGTGGCTAGTCCTAATCACATGACTAACCATCCCTGATGTTCAGAAGTGTCATTTTAATTTAAGAGATCCTAAAAGCAAGTCTGAAGTCCATCTTCTAGAAATGCTGTGCACAATAGGGAAAGAATTTGTCTTGAGGGAAAAACAAATGTGACATGTCTGTGACTGTTTAAAAGTATTGTTTATGTAAGACTTATGTAGTTTTCCATTGAATCTGTTAAACGGAAATGGAATGCATTTAGAGAAACTAATGTGGGAAAAGGAAGAGTGGGTTGTATCACCCATGAAAAGGGTGGAAGTGCAGTTAGTTTTCTTCCAACAGCTGGTCTGTTTTCATGACTGATTTTTCCCATTAGCAGTGTGGAAGCACAGCACAGAGCAATGAACCCACTACGGCAACAGGCAAAAAAGCTGAGCTGTAAGGACAAAACTAATATTTTTTCATACTACATGAACAGTTTGTGACATATTACTGGTTCTTCAGTGAAACCATGTCATTGAAAGGGGAGACCAAAAAGAGAGTCTTCTGCCTCTGTCATGAGATCGTTGTATATGATCTTGGAAGTTACTTGATCCTTTGTCCTTCGGTTTTCCACTCTTCTGCAGTTTCTTCCATTTTCAGCCCATGTATCTCCTTCTTGTTTCGAGTAAAGCGGGATTCCAATAGACAACAATCTTTTCCACTCTACAGACCTAATGCATACCCTGAAAGCCACTTATTCTTTGTCAGGAACATTACAGAATCATCTGAAAAGTATCTTACAGTCATGCTTTTTTTTGTTGTTGTTGTTTTATTTTTTTTCCTTTGGTGTAGTCACTTGTTCCTTCAGTTGGATTCATCAGTTTTTCAAAAATATTGAGCATAAATAGATATAGCTGCCTGGACAATTTTCTTCTTAAAATGTTGAATGCATGTAATAATAATTTGTTCCAAAGCCAGGTTCTGGGTAGTTTGAGTAACCTTTTTCTGTCTTCGTGTCACTGATTTGAAATGGGGAATATAAGATAGCATTTAGATCTTCAGGGGCATTAAATGAGTAAACACACGAAAAAACTGCACAAAATATTTGTAGTTTAATCCTGCTTTCATTATTTCAGTCTTTATCATTGTGTACAGCAAGAATCATAGATGAGAGCTGACCAACTACAGCTACAAATCCTAGAAACTAGCCAGACAGAAACTTTCAGCAAATTATCAAAGATGCTGTCTTCAAGTCTTTCAACCATACAGGTTCTGGGAGGCCTGCCACACACATCCTTCTTGGGTTGTTGGAATATAGCTGCATTTGTCACTTAGTTTCTCAAATATTTGAAGATCTCCCAAATGAGTTTTCCTTCTGTCCTTGGTTCTTTCAATTTTACTAACTTTGTTAGAGAAGTAGATAACTTCCCTTGCTTGTGAGCTGGGTTAAAGCCCCAGCAAGGTTTTTTGTTTGTTTGTTTGTTTGTTTGTTTTTTGGTCAGTTGGGTCGGTTGATTTGGGTTTTTTTTGGCACCTTGGCTGGATAGGTAAAATTGCAGTGGCTGGCATTCCCAAATTGACATACCTGTATGTATCCAACTATATCCCCATCTGAGATAATTTACAGGATTTAAAACAAGCAAACAAACAAACAACAAAAAAAAATACAACACAACTGAAATGAAAGATGAGTTCTTTTATTTTACTGTCTGATAATCAAGAGTTCATAATGCTCAGTAACTCCTTGTAAGTAGAGGCATTCACAGGTGTTCCTCTCCCTTAAGGAGTGAGGCTTTTGTGCTTTTCAGTTGCTACAGCTTTTCATGTTTAACAGAAAATGCTCTATACAGAAGGCAGCTGAAGAGAGTTTCTCCATGGAACAAAACGGGATTTTTTTTATTTTTTTTTTTAATTCATCTGTATGAGGGGAATTATGATAAAGGCTGTTTTTCCAACAGGCAGCCATATACTTATAAAATGGCCCTGCAATTTTATTTCTAGAGAAATGTTGGCACCTAGAGTCTGTCTATGAAGGGAACCTTGGAGAAACCTAGTGAAAACAAACACACTTTTCAGAAGTAGTTAGATGGGCTTGTAGTCAGCCTGGCAGCTATGTCTCTTGCCTTCTCCTGGTGAGGCAGGGCCAAATGGACTAAGAAGACATTGTGTATCCATTTCAATCAGAAAAATGGGGCCATTGCTTGTTTTCTGTGTGTTTTGTTGTTGTTTTTGTTTTTATTATGTTTACCTGATGAGAACACTAGGTCCAGTTTTCTTCTGACCACATAAACATTTAAAACAACTTTGGTGGGTAAAGGAGTGCATGTGATAGGTGGAGAGGTCTATGTGCATCTATTATGCTGTAGGATGGTGGTATCAGGACCTGGTCCATAACTGTAGTTGAACCAGGTACTATTGGTAGCACAATAATTAGAAATATCAGTGGTCAGCTGCTATACTTACTGTGAGTCTTAGTGTCCATATACAGTCTCTTTTTCTCACTGGTCAGATTTTTGCATTTATTTGGAACAACTACTTTAGGGTATGAGACATTCTAGCTGAGTTGTCCATGTGTTGCTAAATCACCAACAGTGAAAACAGTGAGCCTGACTTTTGCCGACAAATTTATTTTTAATGATTATGCTATGGCACTTCTCTGTCTTGGGAGATAATGTCTGCCTGAATCACAAGGGCACACTGAAACCATACAGCTAGAACTCTTCTACAGGTGTTTGGACAAAATCTCTCTCTCTCTCTCTTTTTTTTTTTTTTTTTTTTTTTTTTTTTTCCTGCATAGAAAATTCTTTTGGTTCTTGAAAATGGGTTTTATTTGTTAGCATAGCAAATACACTTCCTGCGAAAATGCGCTTGAATATAAGCTTAATATAAAACCCATTTCAAAATAACCCCTATTTTATATGAAGTCTATCCCTACTGAACTTCAGCTAGGTAAAGTAAATCTTACAGAAACAGATTAAATAGTCACACTACTGAGAACAATACATGGTATCAAAGATTTCATTTCCATATTGTAGCTACATTTTCCATTTTACAAATGGGGGATATGAGGTTGAGGAAAAAATGAGGAAGAGAGCAGACTATGTTTTCATTAGCTGACTTTCACCGGATTTTCCTCTCTGTAACACAAAATGTAAGAATCTCAAAAATCTCCTTGTCTGCTAATTTCTCTTGTTAATGTTTCTAATTTGAGCCATAAGGGTGTTGCGTATGGTGGCAGAGCTGAGAATCAAACTCCTATTCCTGAAATTTGGGACAGTTTCTTCCTTTAAGTCTTCATTTAAATGATTTCTGTTATGTGCTTTTGGGTAAAGCAATAGCCTGAAAGCAAGAATATTCAGAGTGCTTTGAGAAAACAGGGTTTACAATGGAAGTTTCTATGGTGAAAGTGTCTATTTCCTATTTCATCCTTTGCACAATACCCACCCACTGAAGCTACTTCAGCCTGGGTGCCAAATGAATTATTAAAAGTAGAATCTGGCCCCACTGTTATCAGACAAAACTCTCCCTGACTTTGGTGGAAGCGACACTGTGACTTGTAAAAACAAATGCTGTGCCAGTTCTGAAAAGTGAGTGGACCTGGGTGTAAAGATCTGTTTGCATTATAAAATATGCCCCAAACAGTTTTTGTCAATGTGGCTAAAGACATCTGTTTTTAACTTTTCAGCTTTCTTCTAACACATCAAAATCAAACTCTGAATGTTATGATCTCTTTTATTAAAAATGCTTTAATATTGCAAAATAAGAAGGAGAAGTTATGTAGGCATAGTTTGTAATTTAGCCAAATAATACACAGACACAGTAAAACGGGTTTATTAGCAGTCTGTCTCACACTGCATGTTGCTTGGGTTAGGGGAGTTAACAGCAAAGATGGTGTAATCTTACAAGCTGACTAGGGAAAATTACAGAATCCCTTCTGAATAAACAACATTAGAAATTCATTTTTTTTTCATATACTTTTTTGTCCTTCCTAAAAAGATTTAAGTTAATCAAAACCTTGGAGATTAAATAATTAAACCTGTAGAAAACCACATTTTTTATTGCTAATTAGTCATAGAGAGGTGCCATTTTCATAGGATGCAGAATCCCTAAATTTAGCCGTGGAATATTACATTGATCACACACAAAAAAACATCATTGATTCTCTGGGGAAGGGTTGGACGTCAGTATGTGCGTTTTGGCTCAGACCACCTTTCACCTATTAAAGGGGGTTCCGGGAGATTTTTATCCTTGCTGCACATAGCAACAAAATGTGATTTGCCATCCTTAACCCTTTGAACATTTTCAGCATCTTAGTAGGATGATTCACAGTTACTCAGTTACCTTGCTTTCATGCCCTGTATTGTATCTGAAATCTTTATTCCAAGAGTGCTGCATTTTTATCCTCTGCTGCTCTGTCAGATTTTTAATGTATGGTATACATGTTTAAATATTTAATATGCACTGAAGACATTACAGCATGGCTGTAAAAAACCTGCATTACTACACCTTCCTACTATGACACTTACTCTTTTCTTTAATTGAGTTGTAGTGTTCGTAAATAAAACTCTAAAATTAAACCCTGACAGAATGCAAAATACTGTATTTTGCTTTACCTGTTTGTTTACCAGTGACAGTGAATTGAATTTAAACATTGTGCAGAACATTTTTATTGCTGTGTAGATCTTTGCCATTATTCAGTATGATGTTTCTCAGATCATTTTCTTCAGCAATCACTAATTAAGTGTAAGAGGCATGCTTCCAGAAACTCGTGAATTTTAATCTTCATGTTTCTTAATTGGTTGATCAAATATTACACAGAATGTAGAAAAAATATGGGACACACTTAAAATACAAATATAGAATTTGTGTAATTGATTTGTGTAATTGTCCATCTAATAAATTATGTCCAAACGTTATGATTGTTCTCACAAACACTTAAGGATGTGTGCTTACATGCAAACGGTGGAAATTGTCCATGTGTACATGCAATTAAATATTTTGTACACATAATTGTCCATAATGATTTTCAAAAACATGCACAAAACTGCAGTTTCAGAATACTTTTGAATATAGACATATGTTTTGATTAAAAAGAATAGAAGCTAGCTATACTGAGAAACATTAGTGATATATAATCAAATTTTGTAGAAGGAAAATTTAAATAAATCAACATCAGTACCACTGTCATCTGCCTGTAGCATCACCCTTCTAGGTCCTGAAATGATGCAAGGACTTTCCTCCCCATTCTCTCTCTTTCCTGGTGGGATATTCCTGGCAGCTGAAGTGCCTAATATTTTACTTGCTTTAAAATGTATTGCATGATTCTGCAGAGTCAAGGAGCTTCCGGTAGCTCAGGTAAGCTTTCAGCAAGGATCTAAACATTCTGCTGCTTAGCTAAAGTGATGTTTTGATATTCAATACCTCTTAATTTTGCTTCATTCTTCTCCATCTGAAAATGCATCTACAATAACTCAGTATTATTTATTGAAAGAAAAACTAGAGTAAAAAAAAAAACTGTCAGCTGAGAGAAGCATTTATTTTTTCACATATCAGAGTTATAGGCACACTATTGTATTTCTGAACTGTAAGGTCCAGCCAAAGATCTGTCTCTGCTTTGTTCTGTACAATATGATTTAGTTTGGTTTAGTTGAGTTTTATTTTCCAAATCCTTGGGCTCATAAAGGCTGGGAAGACCACAGAGACAGATTGCTCAGGCACTGAAGAGAGAGAATGCCTTGTGCTAGTTAGCAGCAGCCACTGCCTGATTTTGTGAGAGGCAGACAAAAAGAAAGAATGAGCATATGCAAGAAATACTAGTCATGGTGATTAGCATGCAGTTGGCAAGCAGTGGAGCTACATCTATGTTAGCAGGTAGACAAACAAGAGTGGATCTGTAGATAAAAACAGCTGGTGCCAAGGACCCGGCAGCCCCATTGGGCCTGTATTGTAGTGGTTTTACTTCAGCCTAGCCCCATGGGCTGCTGCCTGCCACTTCGCAGCTGGAGTGCAGTATTTCAGCTCCTGCAGCGTGTCTTCCCATGGAGTTTCGTCCGGACAGAATCCAGTTCACAATGACTGAGATCACTCTGTGATGTGAACCAAAGCACAGTAAATGGGAATGGTCAGAGATAGATGTTACAAGGATTCTTGTAACCTGTGCTGACAGAAACATACCTCCATTGTTACTTTCTACATATCAGACACAAATATGAACCTGGACACTGCCGAAAAACTTCTAGGAAAATAATGTTTACAACTGGACTATTATTTGGCTTTTACATGTAGCTCTGAAAGTAAATGAGCACAGGAGAATCTCCATGCTGAGAGATCACCCTTTCATTCTGACATTTTCCTCTGTGCAGCAGTCACGGAGGTGTTTACCTACTTGCTGTGAAATACCTTATGTGGTGGTTTCATATATATTCTGAAACTTTGAAATTAAGCTTTGGTTGAAAGAGAGATTGTGGAATATCCTTAGATTGATTCAGCTTTTCAGATGGTGACAAAGGATATTTATTCTCTTGAGTGACAATCTAGTTTAACAGAGTAATTAAAACTAGTAGCATAAAGTTTGATTGGGACCAGTATTTCCTTTTGCAAGTGGAGCACCCAAGAACAATGATGTACCATGAGGACTGTTCACTGAGAAAAGGCAGAGTTTGACAAATTAAAAGGTGGATCAGGCAAAAATAAAAATACTTCATTTCACTGCTGCCTCACCTGTAACAATGAAATCGGTACCCTGGGAGACTGACAGATCTCCTCCTCCACTTCCCCCTGCAAAGTTTCCTAATGTATGTCCTTGCTTGAACATTTTCCTTAGGTCTTCCAGTTTTTTTTGCTGTTCTTTTAAGCTTTAAGTAGTAAAGGATATAAGGACATTTAGAAAGGACAAATGCTGTGGCTAAAGGTTGTAATCACCACAAGGGGTGTCATACTCCTGTTTTTTTTTTTTCTCTGTTTCTGTGAATATTATGTGCCTTTTTACATAATGAACTCCGTTAAATTAAGGAAGGGGTAAGCTGATCAGTAATAAAAATGTGAGTGAAGATTTAGATGCTGTTGCCAAAGCTCTTCTCTCAATTATCAGCAGTAGTTTTATGTGAACAGGAAAGCAGCTGCTAGAAGTAATATTCAGTGAAAAGCAGAAGGGCAGACTAAACATTTACTTCATAGAGTTGTTTTTATCTAGAGGTTGGATATGCATCCATTACACGTGGCTGCAAAGGCTAAACTATCCTTTTTAAAACACTCCATCTGCAGTATGTCAAAAATAGTAATGTCCTGTACATGCTTAAATTTTTGGCACCAAAGTAGCACCTTAATTTCTTTTACAGTAAATATATAGATATATTACATAGTGAAATGTAGAGCAGATGTTTCTAAAAATGCAAAGAAATTCCAGTCTGTTCATGTTGATGTAGTAGTTTCAGTCTTTGAAAATAGAACTACTTAGGCAATGCAGTCATGCTAAAACTGAATATTTGAAGAGTCTAAGTACAAAGTTAAGACCTCGTATCAATGGGTATGGCCATGACATCTACAAATAAAAGGAGAGCATATTTGAAATTACCCTACAGAAACAAGAAAGAATTCCTTTTTAAAAAGTTTTCAGAGCGAGGGACCATTCTTGTATTCAGAGTTCCAGCATAACAGGCTTGACTCATCGACAGATGACACATCAAGCACAGGGAATTTGAAAAAGCACTGCTTAACCTCACTAAAAAAAATCATACTTTTGAGAACAGGAATGAAGGAAAATTGCTTTCTGATCCTTGACTCCACTATGCTCAAAAAGGGTAATGAATGTTCTGATAAAACATACTTCATTGGACAAATAAATCTGGTTCAAACTGACAGTGTTATGTAAAGGGATGTCCAAGTCTGTTTAAAAATCATTTTGAAATGAAACAAAAACATACAAACCAAAAACCCAACAGGAAGCTCGAAATTAAATTTGCTTGATCTTTTTTTTTTTTTTAATTTTATTTTATTTTTAATATTCTGCAAACCAAAATGTCTGATACAACCTAGTTGTATCAGACATGTTGTAGCAATTTATTATAAATGGGAAAGGGCGTGCTTTAATCATAAGAAGTGTGGTGTAATTGCTTTTTGTTGTTGTTGGTCTGTAATGTTTTCTAACTATTAATGAGCTTAGATAGATGTTTGAAAAGTTTGGGTGGCCTCAGAGGCTAAATGCTGTCTGTGTACTAAGCTGAGTAGGAGTTGGTCTGCTTCCAGCTTAGTGGCCATCAAGATGGATAAATGGCCTGGAATTACATTGCTATAGATATTTTGTACTTCCCCCTCCCCACCAAGTTATTCTAGTATCTGCTTGAAAGATTTTGTGTGAGTTATGGGTATGGCACTGCGTTCTTGGCTTTGGAATTAGTTCCTTCAGGAAAAGAAATTTATCATTAGGTCACAATAATGTTCAGAGATCTCAACCAAGATAGAGAACTTGGCACAAGCCTTTTACATACACATTGAATTAGTGCTTACTTCACATACTTCGCCTATTGGAGCCTTGTTTTTTATACAATTCCTTATTTTCTATTTTTGCTTATTTTTGTACTGTTGGAATAGCCATTTTTCACTCAAGGAGGTTATTGGAAGATTTTATTTATTTTTCTTAAATAGTTCAGGTAATAAAACTGTGTGACCCTAAGTAAGTGACATGTATTAAGAAATTAAGAATTTTAAATCAAAATTAATAATAGTTCTTGTTTGTTTGTTTTTAATGAAGGTGTTCCAACTGTTTTTGTCCGATGTTGTAGCTAACATTGATTCCTTATTTTTTTCAGATACGTTTTCTCCATTTCTTTCCTTGTCCTGCAGGGAATTTGTATGTTGTTGTTAGCCTGATGAAATTAATTTCTCCTGGTGCAAATAATATACCTCTTTAACCAGAAATAAAGGGACGTATAAAACATAGTCATGCATAAAACATTCCTGGTAGAAACATTTTATAAGTAAGGTCTCTAGGAGGAGGGATTTTCTTTAAACCTCATTGGTCAGCCTTTTCTTACATTTGTTTTGCTACATCCAAAAAGAGTCAAATCTGAGCTAACCCGAGTGTTTCCATTAGAGCTGTTGTTGTTTGTCAGGAAGGGATTCCTGGCTGGTGCACTCGAGTGTGATTTAAAATTCCAGATGACCTTCATTTCTGGTTTTCAGATTACTGGGTGCATCTGATAAAATGTGTGTTGCTCCTTGGTTCAAAACAACAAAGGTGGTATTGAATTCTTTGTACTGCTCATATAATATAGTAATGTTGCTAACAAATCTGCATCTGGAATTAGATGGTTCCTAAGAGAAGGTCCTTCCTTTCTTGTCATGGCCCTGTTGCATCCTAAGTAACACTAAATGGCTCATCTTTCTTTTTCACCTCTCTTTTTTAATACCTTTCACTTGTTCTGCATAGGGAGAATGAAGTTGAGTTGCTAACTAGTACTAACAATTTATTTAACTCCCCACTTCTTCCTCCCACTTACAGCTCAGTAATGGAGCACTGAGTGATGTCCTCTCCAGCACTCTACTTTTCACCCCCCAGACTACTTCTATGTGTCGCAGGATAAAATATTCAAGCAGTTGTGATGTATTGTGAATTCTTTGTGTAAACTGATTTTTTAACCATGTTAATCCATAGGTAAAGTAGAAGACAGTTTAAATGCCTTTTAACTTTTTAAAATTTAAATTATTTGTAAGAAAATCAATATCTAGTTAAAAAAGAATGAACTACATCTTCTGTTTCTGATATAACAATGCCAAAGCAATTGGCTGTTGTCCTGATAAGGCTGTCTTGAATAATATCATAGTGTTACGAAGGATACTGTTGACAACATTTGCAGATCAGCAGTTCAAGGAAGAAGACTGCATATGTGTTTTTTTCAAGTACAGTTCAGACCATATCTAGAATACTTTGGACTATACCAGTGCAGTATGTGGAAAATTGTTCAAAAGCAACCAAACAAAACAACAACAACAACAAAAAACAAGGCTAGAACTCTATGGAACCACTCATCAGGTGAACATTTCCAAGAAGGAGCATTCCTTCAGACCTGACATACTAGAGCAGTATGGTACCTTACATCTTGTTTACAGCTTTAGATTAGTTAGAACATAAGAGATGTAGCAGATGGTTATTTTTAAGCAACTGAATCCAGCTGCTAAAAGCAATCACTTGTCATTTGAGATGCAATGGAGACAGATCCATGGGGCTTACAGATGTGATCTGTGGAGACCCATTACCTTCTGGATTAGCAGCTACAGGCCAGTGAAAATATCATAGGCCATGTCAAGCCTCTTAAATAAGTTAAACCTTTATGTTTACAAAGTTTTAATGCACCTCAAACATCTTTTCAAGTCAAAAGGATAGTAAACATCAGAGTTACTTCTTTAAATACTTTTTATAAACACCTAGAATTGAGTCAGTCTGCAGAACTGGAATTGTGCATGTCAACGTTTCCTGAGGTTACCCACATTTATAAAAATGAATATAAGTTATTGCAGTTGGATAATGTATCTGTTATTAGCAGTTTATGTGACACAGCTAGCTCTTACTTGTTTTAAGAATAGTGTGTGAACAGACCCAACTGATAAAAAAATCCATATTTTGTAAAATATTTCATTTTGAGACAGCTTATTCACACCACCAAAAAAAAAAAAAAAAAAAAAAAAAAAGCTAATTGTATCAAATGGTCAAATATATAAATCAGTGAAAAGAAGGTTTTGAAAAGAGTATTTACTCGGGCAGGTATAATGTGGAATTTTATATAGTAGTATATTTTTATGGAAGTATAAATTTTATATAGAAGTATAAAATAAAGCATGTGTATAGGAATTATGCATGGGATTATGTAGGAAGCTATTCACAGAAATGTAAGGAAGGCAAGCCATTCTAGGAAGCAGGTCTACTGTGACTAAAAAAAGTATGTCCACATCCCATGAGCTTCTTGTGAAGAAAATTATTTACTCGTTCCGGGTGGAATGAAAGGTTTTTACTAACCAGATATTGCCTATTTTAAGAACCACATGAGTTTCAACTCCTAATTTTTCAGCGAATGATCTAAATGCAGCATACAAGAGCATCCATTTGGGAGATCTTGACTTAGTGAAGTCTGACAGCATGCAAAAAGGCTTGGAAGTGTTTGCATTTTCTTCACACTTGCTGAGCAAACTGACAAAACATTAAGCATCACAAGTGTTAACACTATTTGTTTACGATGAAATACTAGGTTTTGCTGCAAGAGTAGAAAATAGCAGTTGTGAAATATCACATGGTACAGCTAAAGAAACTCTTGGGAGATTTACAAAAAAGCTAACAAGACAAGAATCAGCAGACGAAAGATTTGCCAGCCAGCTGCTTACTTTTAAATTTGTGATGTACAGTTAATATCTCTCTTTCCCTTTTGTAAAAGTAGGGACTTCTGCATGTCTGATAAAATGTGTTTTAATGTTGTTGTCCAGAACGTTATTGTATACAGGTAAAACAGTTTAATATGAAGTTCAAGACTATTGGCTGCCAACTGTCTGAGTGATATTTTTAGTACTACCTGGATCTACATAGCAGGAAACAAAACAAAAGCAAAAACATCTACTTTATGTAGGAGAAATAAGGAAGAACAAACTTTTTTTCTCTCCTTATCACTTTTTGTGAGGACAGATGATGTGAAAGAAATGATTTTTTATATATGTGCCAAGCCTACTTTCCCTAATATGTTAATCACCATACATAAAAAACTAACATTCTGATAATCTTTTTAATATATTTATTTCTCAGTAATTCTCAGCCATTTATTGTCTTCCCACTTTTGGAGCACAGAAGAGTATAAATTGGCATAAACCTAGTCAAGAGTAATTTAATGTCTATGGTCAAACAGGGAATTTATCTGAAGAAGGAGGGCTCTCTTGGACTCCCTCCTTTCAGGAACTAAAGCCTCACAGACCTCATCACTATGTATAAACACAGTACAAAGATAATCTTGTCAGGGAGCCATGAGATTTTCATAGAGAAGTGAAAATTACACATAAGTACATTTGAAAACTGTGTCTTGTTTAATTGCGTGTCTGGAGATGGATTCTGATGTGCCTGGTTTTGGGTACTGACATTTGAAAATGTTAGCCTGGGCCTAGAAATTATTCCATGTAAGATCTGTTCAATTAGCAAAATATTCTGTCCAAATATCTGTCATGGTTAACAGAACCAACACTGACGTAGTGTCCTATATTCCATTCATTTCTTATATTTTCTAAAATTCTTTGTGTTTTCTTTTTCTTTGGTAGGAATAAAAGTGGGTAGAAAAATTATACAAGAGTTTTTTTCTTAGTACTTCTGACCTACTGAAGCAGCAAGAGTTCGAACAGTTTCAGGCAATTCTGCAGATGCAAGAAATTTCTTAGGTAAGACTAAAACTTTGTAAATATGTTACATATGCAAAACTTGTATTGCTTTCTTCATGATAAATTCTGTAGAAATAAAAAGCTGGGGCTTACTGGGATAGAAAAATACCAAAATGTAAAAAATGTTTTTTTGTGGTTTTTTGTGTTTTTTTTTTTTTTTTTTTTTTTTTAAGTGGGTATTCTAAACTTCTGAGATATTTCAATTTAATTTCTAATTTTTATTCTCTTCACATTTCTTTTTCTCAGTGAGAGAGATGTAAAGCTAAACAAGCATGTATGAGAGATGGAAATGGAAACACAGTAATTTTTTGTTACTTTTTCTATTGTTTCATTAGAATTTCATTTTTAAAAATGACTTGTAAGAATCTGCAAACTCAAACCCACATTTTCCTGTACTTTCACTTGAAATATTTCACTTTAGGCCAACTACTGTGTTAGTGTTGGAGAAAAATGTCTGCTTCGTGCATGTGTAGCGTAGCAGTAGGGAAGCCATGCATGTTCTGGGAGAACAAGAGACAAGAGACAGCAGACATAACTTAAAACATGAGAGGTAGCCCTTGCTCTGCGCAGAAAGTTGGACTAGATGAACTACCAAGGTCCCTTACAAACTGGGTTATTCTTTAAGATTCTGTGGTCAATATTTTTTGTGGTCAAGCTTTTTTTCTTTTTTCCTCTCAAATTATTAAGTATGCAATTTGTGATGGTTTGTTTGAAAATGAGTATGCGCAAGATTTGAGAACTGGAAATGACTGAATATTAAAGAAAACCAAATTTGATATAGGTCTTAGAACACAGGCTGTAGTGTGTTTTTAGTAGTGAACTGAGTATCTGAACCAGTTTTCTAGGAGCATGGTGATGTGTGTCCGTATTGCCACTTTCCTATATCACACAGGGACGTGAAATATTTGGAAAGGAAAACTTTAACTGGTTCCATCTATCACTGATGAAATGAGAGAAAGGATCCTACTTTATGGCAGAGTCTTACATGGAGAGTAATGAAGTTAGCTGTGTTAAGCTAAAGCTAGTCTTTATGATTACCACTCAAGTCTCTAACTTTGAAATTCTTGATATTTGGACATCTGCAAGACACTTGTCTCTTTTATTGAACAGAATAGCCTTACACAGATCATCAGTTCCAACCTCCTCATCACTCCAGGGTTAACCAACAGTTCAAGTGTGTTATCGAGGGCACTATCCAAATGCCTCCTGAACACTGACAGGCCTGGGGCATCAACCACCTTGCTAGGAAGTCTGTTTCAGTATTTGACCTCCCTCAGGGTAAAGAATTTTTTCCAAGTCTGACCCTCCCTGGTGCAGCTTTGTGCCATTCCAAGCGTCCTGTCACTGGCACCTCCCCCTCTGCTTCCCCTCCTAAGGGAGTTGCAGAGAGCAGTGAGATCACCTCTCAGACTCCTTCAGACTGGACAACCCAAGTGTCCTCAGACTCTTCCCACAGGACTCTACTCCAAGTTTTTGCTAGCTTTCTTGCCCTTCTCTGGATGTTTTCAAGGACCTTAACATCATTATGTTTTGGAGCCCAGAACTGCACGCAACATTGAAGGTGAGGCTGCACCAACACTAAATCTAGCAGGAGAATCACCTCTTTAACCATCTGGCTATGCTGTGCTTAATGCACCCCAAAGTGCAGTTTGCTTTCCTGGCAGCCTGGGCATGCTGCTGGCTCCTGCTGAGCCTGCCGGCACCAGCACCCCCAGCACCCTTTCTGCAGGGCTGCTCTCCAGCTACTCAGCTCCCAGTCTGTGCCTGTCGGGCATTGTTCTGTCCCAGGGGCCGCACCCGGCATTTACCTTTGCTGAATTTCATGCTGTTGCAGATTGCCCAGTGCTCCAGACTGTCTAAATCCATCTACAAGGCCTCTCGTCCCTCCAGAGAGTCAACAGTACCCCCTAGTTCAGTACTGTCAGGGAATTTGCTAAGGATGTGTTTCACGCTCGCATTAACAAAAATTTTGAACAGAACCAGCTCTTATCTCTCTCTCTTTTTTTTTTTTTTTTTTATATATATATATATATATATATATATTTTTATAGACCACACTACATGTGGAATGATAGAAAATGCAGTTAGAAATACAATTACGCAGGTATAAATAGTTTTCAGTTAAGTGACAAGTTTGGATTGAACTTTCATGATTTTTAATGGAGATAAAATATGCCAAATTAATACAACATGGGCCTTAGAGTTGCAAAATGATTTTATAACTGTTTGTGAAAGAAGTATTAATTGTTTTTTTGTCCATCTAGTAGACTGACTTTTGATAAAATATAAAGATGTTTTCAAGAAATCTTAAGATCAACTTCTAGAAGCAAAATACATGAAGACAGTATACCACTGAAAATAATTCTGTTTTTAAGATAACATAGTGATTTTGGCTGTCACAACTATAAAGTGTCTCTTTAACTTTATATGCACAAGAGCTAAGGCCAGAGAGAATAGTTAATCATACAATTATGATAGTTAATCATAGAATCATAGAGGATAGTTAATCATAGTGTATCCCAAATTGGAAAGGACCCACATGGACCGTGGTGTCCAACTCATGAAGTTAAGTCTATATTCTTCTAATAAATCCTAATTGTAGTGTTCTGAAAATACAAGCACTGGAGAAGATATGTTCAAAACAGAAGTTCAGAAGTTGATTTAATGCATAAATTTTTAATCTGTTTATTTTGGGAACTTTTGTGGAGTTGTTGCAAAGTTATTTTCTTTTAAAAGAGAAGGAGTTCCCATATTTTAATTTCCTCCTGTCTACAGATCAATAATTTGATATTCTTCTTGATACTGGGTAGCGTGGATTTTATATGCCTCCCACGCTCTTTGTTTTAAGTCACTTTCATTGTAATAAAAGAAAATTTTAAAGCATAGAACGATGCATTTCAAATATATGAAAAAAATTATTAAATACTTAACCACCTGTTCTGGTCATGTATAAAAGGGCTAGTAATAAAGGTGGAATTGAGCTCGTTAATTTTTTTCATCTTGCAAAGTTCAGTTTTGTATCCCCAAAACAGAGTAAGCCACCTACACTTGTACATATTTTTATCCTGTTGCATGATACAACTTTAAAAATAGGGAAAATTTAACTATGTAGGTATTTTCTATGGAAATGCAGGTTTGATTCTTATCTTTTGGGGCTCTGTATCTTCTGGGAAACAGCCTATATGTTTGGTGATAGAATGGAGAATTGTTTTGTATTAAGAGAAATAAGATTTAGTTAAGCTGCTAAAATGCCCCAAATAAGTCCTATTTAAAAAAGAGAAAACCTCCCTCCATTTTAAGTCCAGAACAATTTCTTCAAATTTGATTTTGAGCAAAATATTTAGTTGTGTGTGTGTGTGCAGGGTCTGTTAAATATTCTGTTCAAATACACTGAACTGTTTCTTTTGGGTTTTGAGCATTTTATCAATTAGAAATCTCTCTCTTCTCCCCACCCCCCTCCTCGCCCCCTTGCGCCCTCTTGGAACTCATTTACCAATCATTTGATTTTTCAGTTGATATTGATACATCTACCTTTCAAGACTCATTATGTTTATGAGTTAATAATTTTGATGTTTTACAGAGTTACACAACTTTTACTTTATCCCTGTAATCCCACTGTAAGGGATTAAGCTAGATTTTAGATGGGAGGCAATTTTCCCTATCCATCGCTCAGTATCTCCCCCTCTGCCCAGAATGGAGTTCTCATCAATAGAGTTACAGGTCAACAACCTTATTTTTCCTTGTCTTCTGTCAATACTTCACAGTACGGATTGCTCTTTGCATTAAGAATGTTCCAAAAGGCAGCTGTTCTTTTCACTGCCTGAATCATGAGCTTTTCCAAACAAAGCATCACTGGTGTTGGGTAAGCCAGGATATATTCTCTCTGATGAGCAGTTTTGGTGAATTGGGTAAGGTAAAAGAATTCTGCATGAAGTGCATTGGCCCGGCTTTGTCTTTTGCCCTCATAGATGATGGCCAGAAACTTGTACATGTTGATCAGGCACTAAACTGAATGGAACTGAAGAGGAAACATTGGGAAATTACAGCCAAAACAATTCGTTGTTTATGCATTGAGCATTGTAGAGGTTTCTTTCTTAGCCTTCTATTTCTGTCATATCTCCAAAGATTATTTTTAGACTGTCTGGAAACATAATTTATTTTGGTAGGTTTGGTTGTGCTACACATAGTTTACATACTTCCTTATCATGTTAATGTTTTCTAGATAAACTTAGATAAAATTGTAGAGAAGAAACTGCTTGAATTCATCCTGTACAGGTATCAGTATGGTGTACATAATGTAAGAAGTTTTTGGCGCTGTGATCTCATACTGGACATTTCCATAGATATAACCTCAATCCTATCCTAGATGGGATGGGACACAGCATCCCACATGAAATAGAATTTGGATTCCATAACTCAGGGAACTGCTGCCAGGGGATCTTCACCGGTCTGTTCTTTCCTGTGTGAGGTGAAAATAAAGCTAAAAGGGAAGCAGACATGAAGGAAGTTCTGTTGTCTGTTCATTCCTCCCACTCTCAGCTAATAAGTGAGTGGAAGTGGTGAAACTCAAAGACCTATTGCCAGTCTGAAATTGGTGAGCTTAATTCTTTCTTGAATTATGTCTGTCACAGCTTTACATGTGTTTATTTCAATCCAAGCTTTGATACCTTATCACTGTAGTAATGGAGTATCTTTGTGTCAGGCAGTGGCAGTGGTTTGTCATATAAACAAAGGTGACCTCCAAGAGATGGACAAAGGGAGAGAATTGTGAAGCAGCAAGATGTGCATATAAACAGATGCTAATGCTTTCTAGTTTGAAATTACAGACTCAATTCTCCTTTCATTCATTGATACCATCCAAAGCAAGTTCAAAACCATGCGCAAAATGATTTTAGTTTTGAAGTAGTTTGGGGGAGAGTCAGTCCACTTATATCAGCCGAATTTGAATGGTGTGGAAGTTTTAATATGGACAGTGATTTTTTGGTGTTTTTTTTTTGTTTGTTTGTTTGTTTGTTTGTTTTTCCCTACCCTCATTATTTTATGGACATAACAGTATGTTGTATAATTCACAGACACTATATAAGGAAAGAGAATCATGCTGGTGAGAAAGATGATGGAGTTTCTCAATACAATCTCCCTATATATATATAAATATGTAACCAGGACCCTATGTAATTGTGACAGCAAAATGGCCTCAAAGATCATGATGAGTCTGATCTACAAAAAGTGTAAGAGGTAACTCATGATATAGAAAAGGGCAAAATTTAATATTTTGACCACAAGCAATTCAAGCTATTTGAACATGTTTTGATTCCTGATTTGATTTGTTACTTTCCTCCTTTCTGGATAGCAGTGCTAGGAACAACTCCAAAAGTAGACTGTAAAGTGGAATGGTGAACAGGAGGTAACAGACTTAGGAGAGTAACTTTATCAAATGTAGATAAAGTGGGAAAAAATGTGAATGGAGCAGTGCCAGTCTCATATCAAGTGTTTAAACCTGCCTTTTACCTTTTCTGAGCAAATCTGATGCAAAATAGTTTGGAAATTAACATTGCTGTTAAGATTGCTGGAAATGATTTAACAGTCAAATAATTCACGTCCTTTGAACCTCAGTTGCTGTCTCTGCCTGATACACCATTTGGACATGGCAATATGCAGCACCTTGTACAAGACTTCATTGGAACACAAGGACGTTTTTCTCTCTGCATTTTACCTGTTATGTCTAGATACACTGATGATGTTTTCCTTTCTCTCAAGTATTTTTGACTGCTAGTATTGCAATGCAAACAATCAGTAATACTTGTATAACTCCATG